TTTGTTTTGTTTTGTTTTTTTTTTGTGGTACGAAGGTCCTGTTGATTAAAAAGTGTTCGTAATATCTGATTAACTAAGCTTGATTCCCGGCCATCTATCCCCCACTCGGGGGCATGGAACTAAACTAAAGCTTGCTTGTCTCAAGAAGGAAACTGGAGTTAACATGAAAACAAGTGTAAGGTAGGTGATCGGAGTGGCAGGTTTCAAAGGTTTAAACGGTTCAAATACTGTTACGAAGACGTTTTTTGTCTCCACAAAGTAAACTTGTTTTTCCCTCCAAACACACAAATAAAATATATCGTTTTGTAAAGATACCTTTGTTTTCAGTGCTTTGTTTAAATAAAACTTTTATTTGTTGAAGGGATATTAAGCAATTTTATTATGTTAGTTTACGTGGTTTTGTGCTCCCCGAAACAAAAGGTGCACAAAATAAATATATCTAAATAAATAAATAAACTCACTAGAGTAAATGTTATTTGAATTTTGAAAATGTAGTTGTACTGAACTCTGTAAATCTACAACACGCCAACAAGGTGACTGACCTGCCCAGATTCAGATTTCAGATACAGATTTCAGATTGACTTTCGGTCTTCACCAAGAGAGTGTCAAGACAGTGTCAAATGTGAGTTTTTTTGAAAAGAAAGATCGACTTTTTAAAAGTTCAACAACGCGATGAAACGTGCGCACAGAAAGTAAAGAAACCCGCACTATGGATATCAGCTGAGAAAACTGTTCATCTTCTGCACGAACAAACAACGCCTCCACAAAGACGTCTTCGTTCTCGCTTTTGGCATTTTAGATGCAATCCCAATCTCAACGACAGGCTTATAAAATGGCGGGCATGATCCGTGCTAGCCACACTTGCTTTGCGAATCAGCAAAGACAGTGCCCAAAATGAACTCTCTAATACTGTTCCTGTTTCTTGGAGTGAGTGTCGTCTTGGCCGAGATCCATGTTAAACATGATCCACACCATGGCCACCATGACCACGAATAGCATAAGCCATCAAACCCAACAGAGTCGGGCAAAGTAGCAGACGAGGAAAACGATCCACGCCGCCCTCGTCCTTCTTTTGGGCCTACTATGGTAAGCCTAGTTTTCTTCATATCTACTTAATATTTTTACTAATTCGTCCCAAATTACCGCACGATGTCATCTTAAACAAATCCTCATGCGAGCAACGTTAAACACTATTAAACACTTGCATGTTTTCTTGAGTTTCCACCAACGTTTTGTTGCTGGAAATGTCGGTTCTAGCGATTGTCATTTGCAAATGTCTTGTGACATTGCACTGAAATTAACTATTTTTCAATATCTTTACTCAGTCGACCCAAAATGGTTGTATGTTGTAACCTGAAAGAAATCGTCATGCAGTGACAATTGTTTTATTGAGTTGATACAAAGTTTGTGATGCTGGCATTTGAATTTAGCAATTGTTATTTTGTTTCATTTTGCAGAAAAAGTGTATAAGAAAGTGCCTCGAAGAGTATAAGCCGTCAAATATGCCGTCAAAAATCCCAGAGAAGCTAGCTGACAAGGAAAATGATCCTGTCCGTCCTGGTCCCACTGGTCATCGTTCTAGTTTTTCGCCTGCGTTGGTAAGCTCAGTGTTTTTTCATTTTTAATTATGTCTCTACTCATTAGCCCTGAATTTCTGCATGTTTTAATCGCAAAAAACATTGTCAAATGTAACATATTACAATTATCTTCTTGAGTTTCCGGGAAAGATTAAATCCTGACAATTGAGTCAAGTGATTGTTGTTCAAATTGTCAGTATTGTAACATTTGACTGAGATTTGTCTAAATTTGTCCGTTCATAATCTGTCAGAATGGTCTAAGAGTTGATGAATTTCCCGAAATTCAGTTTTGTTGGAGGAACATTAACTCAAAGCAACACCTGAATTATCAGACAGTTATTCGGGTATTACATGGAAAATGGGTTTGTAAAAACAATTACTAATAGGTTTACATGATGCGTTCCTTTGCAGGAGAAGTGTATTGAGAAATGCATCGAAGAAGGGGAGCGATAAAGTCCGATGGCCTGTAGAGCAACTTCGTCCGATCATGTTTCATGAACGCATAATTCAGACATGCGTAGTTCTTGTTGGGGATAAATTACAAAGACAGGGGAATAAAGCATTGAAAAAGTATCCAACTTGTGTATTTAATGAACTACATGACTAGAACTACAAGATAATAGAGGGTGTCAACTGACAATATCATGGTTAAACTATTAACAAATCGGCTTTACAAGTTGAAAGATGATCAAGTTCTCGTCCATACTGCTTACACTGTTACTGATTCCTTTAGCTGATCGAAACGTGTACAGCAGTCCAGTTAATTAAACCCAAATCCGGCACTCTTACTAGTACAGCAGAAGTTTTCCTTGTGGTTTGTTGCTTTTAGTCGTTTACGATCTTGTTTTTTCGCTCGTGTTGTCCCTTATTCCGTTGCCTGGGATTTTTTATCCATGGTTTTCCCTTCCAGTACGCCCTTTAAGTATTTTCACGCCTTTGATGTGAAGTTGCAGAACTATTTAATGTTATTTTATGCGTGCTTTGCCTAATAAACGCCGGGTTTGTGCAGTGCCTTTACCTCGACTACCTTCAAGTTTGCAGGTTTTGTTATATTCAGGGTGTTTTTGTATGCGTGCTTTGCCTCACAAACATCGGGTTTGCGCAGTGCTAGCTTCGGTTCCCTTTAGTTTGCATGCTTTGTTATATTCAGTAATGTTCTTGTATGCGTGCTTTGCCTCAAAAACTTTGGGTTTGTGCATTGCTATTCTCTCGGCCCCCTTTAGTTTGCATGCTTTGTTATATTTAGTAATGTTCTTGTATACGTGCTTTGCCTCACAAACATCGGGTTTGTGCATTGCTATTCCTTCGACTCACTTTAGTTTGCATGCTTTGTTATATTCAGAGTAATGTTCTTGTATGCGTGGTTTGCCGCACAAACATCGAGTTCGTGCAGTGCTATTCCCTCGGTTCCTTTTTGATCTTGGAAAATATTACTTTCCAAGTTGTAGTGGGGGAACGATTTCACTCCATCACTCCATCACTTCCCGTAAGACATTTGGAACCGGGGGGGGGGGGGNCGTAGTTCTTGTGGGGGATAAATTACAAAGACAGGGGAATAAAGCATTGAAAAAGTATCCAACTTGTGTATTTAATGAACTACATGACTAGAACTACAAGATAATAGAAGGTGTCAACTGACAATATCACGGTTAAACTATTAACAAATCTCTTTACAAGTTGAAGGATGATTAAGTTCTCGTCCATGCTGCTTTCACTGTTGCTGATTCCTTTAGCTGAACGAAACGTGTACAGCAGTCCAGTTAATTAAACCCAAATCCGGCACTCTTACTAGTACAGCAGAAGTTTTCCTTGTGGTTTGTTGCTTTTAGTCGTTTACGATCTTGTTTTTTCGCTCATGTTGTCCCTTATTCCGTTGCCTGGGTCTTATCCATGGTTTTCCCTTCCCATACGCCCTTTAAGTATTTTCACGCTTTTACTGTGAAGTTGCAGAACTGTTTAATATTATTTTATGCTTGCTTTGCCTCATAAACTCCGGGTTTGTGCAGTGCGTTTCCCTCGACTCCCTTCAAGTTTGCATGTTTTACTATATTCAGGGTGTTGTTGTATGCGTCCTTTGCCTCACAAACATCGGGGTTGTGCAGTGTTATTCCTTCGGTTCCTTTTAGTTTGCATGCTTTGTTATATGCAGTAATGTTCTTGTATACGTGCTTTGCCTCACAAAAATCGGGTTTGTGCAGTGCTATTCCTTCGGTTCCCTTTAGTTTGCATGCTTTGTTATATGCAGTAGTGTTCTTGTATGCGTCCTTCGCGTCACAAACATCGGGTTTGTGCAGTGTTATTCCTTCGGCTCACTTTAGTTTGCCTGCTTTGTTATATTCAAGGTATTTTTGTACGCGTCCTTTGCCTCAAAAACATCGGGTTTGTACATTGCTATTCCTTCGGCTCACTTTAGTTTGCATGCTTTGTTATATTCAGAGTAATGTTCTTGTATGCGTGGTTTGCCACACAAACATCGAGTTCGTGCAGTGCTATTCCCTCGGTTCCTTTTTGAACTTGGAAAATATTATTTTCCAAGTTGTAGTGGTGGAACGATTTCACTCCATCACTCCATCACTTCCCGTAAGACATTTGGAACCGGGGGGGGGGGGG